GGGTTGGGCGCCCAAGCGGAGAGGCGGAACGCAGACATGTCCACCCCAGAGCGCGTCTCGGGCGCGAGCTCGTCAATCTCACAAAACGGCGCGAGCAGGGTGTCGATGGAGGAGCGGAACCAAGTATGCTCAGGGACGCCGGTGATATCCAGGTCGACCTTGAAGCGAAGGGCGACGGGCTCGGCGCCAGCAACACGGCTCCACGGGTGGAGGAGAAGGCTGAAACGTGGAGAACACACGTTTGCAAGACCAACCCGAGCGCGCGTCTCCGACCGGGAGAAACGGAGAAGGAACTCGCCGGGCAGGCGGCTGTGGACGAAGAAGTCAGTGTCCGAGAGCGCGAACTTGGAGGCGAGCAGGTCGGCCACGTCGGGCGGGAGACCCGTGTGCGGTTGCCGGCCAGGACGACGACGAGGGCATGGTGCTCTAGGGCCTCCTCGGCTGCGCGGACCTCCGTGGAGCGAGGGAGAAAACAGAGCGCCCTCGGCTGGCGCATGGTGGGATGGACGGACATGGGGACCGCGGGCGACGGGGCGGAGCTGGAGGAGCGCGTCCGCGGGGAGTCGGAGGGGCGCGACCGAGAGGAACCGGAGGGTGGCGGCGGTGAAGGGGTGGCCAGCGAGGCGGAGGTGGTGGCCGTGGCATCGCTGGAGGGCGGAGAGCCGGCACCGGACGAGGGAGACAAGCGCGCCTCGCCCGAGCTGTCCCCGCTGGAGACCATAGGAGAGACAGGCCGGGGGGAGGCGGCCGGCGCGCGCCGGCGCTTGGTAGGAGGATCTGCGGACGGCCGGCGCAACCAAGTGCAGAACTTGGCGACGTGCCCGTAATGCCGGCAGCGGCGACAATAGATGTCGCGCCGACACTCATGGAGGGGGTGGCCCGAGCATAGGCAGCGGGGGCAGGCGTCGACAGGGATGGGGTAAGCCAGGGGAGGCGGCACGAAGACCTGACCGGAGGCTGCTGTGTTAGAATAAATCCGAGGCATACCGTAAATCATCCGAGGACCAAGCAATCACACAAGCATGACACCGAGATTTGTTAACGAGGTTCACCATCATGGCTACATCCCGGAGCCTGACTATGGGCGCTCCTCCCCATTACACCGCTACAATACCGCACCCCGGCCGCCCGGGCGCCGGCACACGCCACCGGCTCCCCCGCGTGCCTGTGCTATTATGTTGGCATAGATCATATCGTGTGTCTACCCCCGATATATATGAGAGGCCTAAGATATAAATGTCCTATTAGGACACAACTCTTACCTTATCTACACACAGTCCAAAACCAAGTCCAACTGCAACCTACCTTGTACAATAATATTCGACACAACTCTAACAAACTCCATCTTGGCGAATATACTTCACCACCTTGAATTCATCCATGAGTCGAACCTCCATGTACATTGGACTTGAGATACGCCATGAGCACGCTGCTACTCCCAGACTCCATGTGACTCCACCTGCAACTGCAATTGTTGTTCCTTCTCGTCTTCTTCACATTCAACACTCGAGCAAAATTAAGTTCTTCATTACTCTACTTTGTACTCCCAACTTCCGGAGTATCCGTTCAACGCCATCACACACCGACCACTGTCTGCGTGAAAATGAACAACCCACATATTGAACGCCACATATAAGAGTTACCTGAACTTAACGTCACCGCTCTTTCTTGACTGCTTGTCTGACACTTGAAGGAATTTCACCGTCGCCATGTGTCACCCTGAGTCAAATTCGCACTTGTCTCACCCTTCTTCCGGATAGTCTCTAGCATGTCCCACAACAATAGCACTCCGCCTCCTTCTGTATTTTTCATCTGCACTTTGCCATGTGCACTGAACACCACAGAATATACGGCCATGTACTCTCCCAGCTTTTGACAATTTCAGACTTTCCACCACTTTCTCAGATTCTCCATGGTCAACTCCTGTCCATTAACCGGCACCGATAGACCCTGTAACCAACTTGAATCTGCTACTCGTCAACACTGCTTCAGCACCCCTGCACACTTTGTCTGACCACATGCCTGACCACCAGTGCCTTGGCCTGTCGCTGTGTCCCATGCTTACCGCATGCCTCGCCGCTATCACCGCGTCGAGCCTTTGCTGTCCTGGTCGAGTCTCCCGAGGTCGCGAACCTACATCACTCAACCCCCATTGCAGAGAACCATCGATCATCACCGATCGATGCCGAGTATCACGCCTCCATCAGACCATTGGGCCCCAGTTCGATCCACATGTCTCTCGCTATCCCGCTGAAATAGGCTTCGACTCTCCATGCATTTACGCCGTAGCCCCTCCATCAGCACAGAGTGAAGTCTTCGCCAGACTCCAGCTCCACCTTCAAAATGACTCCATGGTAGATGATCAGTCCACCCTCACGCCCCGTTGACTTCAAGCTCCGTGTGTACACCACCTTGAATCAACACTGCGTCATAGTCTCGTCGAAGCCGCACAAGCCCTCAGGCCTGCACCACGTGTTTCCACGCCCCAGAAGTCGGCCACCATCAGCATCACGCTCCTATGTCGTCGTCGTTGAAAACACCTCCATCTTCTGCTTTGACCAACATCCACGTCAGTCCGTCAGACAATCCAGTCCGACCCAGCCGAAAAATATCCGACTGCAACCATGCTCCACCTTGCGTCATGACGCCCGCATATCTCCTTGCATTGCTTGACGCCCTATATTTGCATTATCCCTGCACAACACGCTCCAGACTCCTCAAGCCTTCACTGTGACCATCGCCATCCATACATAAATGTGTACCAGCAAAGAAAACCAAAGAATAAATACACGCACGCAGGAAGGTTACACGGGTATTTATTCTTTGGTTCGGTCCTTGTGCCAATCTCTTTTTTCCAAACAAATCTCGTACGCACGCGTCCTGGTCTCGTGCCTCAGACTGTCTCAGCCTCCGATCGCATGCATCCGCGGCTCTCACGCGCAGCCTGCTCCTGCTTCGCCTGGACGAAGCGATGCACCAGGCCCCGTGTCCACCAGTGGCCCTAGTCAATCGAGGCAAACAACCCACATGGCCTCATCTCTTCCACTTGGACCGGCCCTTGCTCGAGCCGCACGCGCGTCAGCGCACTGCAGCGCCTGACCTAGCGCTCTAGCACTGCCATCGATTGAATCGATCTCTGCTGCCGCCTTCGCCTTCTGTGCACACGCTTTCGGACTCGCCAAAACGACGGATTAATGTGGTACCGATCCGACCTGCCAACACGAAGACCTCCCACGAATAACGCCTGATGCTTCACATTGCTTTCGATTCTCTTTTTTTTTTGAGGGCACACATTGCTTTCGATTCTCGCCATCGTTGCTATACAGGCCGAGACTTTCTGATCGAGCCTAACACATATCCACTCCGATCTATCCACGACATTGAACTGCCGGCAACCTCCAGTGCCGCCTAATCACGCCGCTGTCGTCGACCTTGTCCACAACCATGATCTTCTCCAGATCAACGATCCGCAATCTCCAGACCTTGCAACCTTGCTCTGATACCATTTGTTAGAATAAATTTAAGGCATACCGTAGATCATTCGAGGATCAAGGAATCACACGAGCATGACATCGAGATTTGTTAACGAGGTTCACCATCATGGCTACATCCTCGGGGCCTGACTATGGGCGCTCCTCCCCGTTACACCGTTACAATACCGCACCCCGGCCGCCCGGGCGCCGGCACACGCCGCTGGCTCCCCCGCGTGCCTGTGCTATTATGTTGGCATTGGTTACATCGTGTGTCTACCCCCGATATATATGAGAGGCCTAAGATATAAGTGTCCTATTATGACACAACTCCTACCTTGTCTACACACAGTTCAAAATCAAGTCCAACTGTAAGCTACCTTGTATAATAATATTCGACACAACTCTAACACGTCGGAGACGGGGGCTGCGAGGCCGCTTGCCGCAGACCTACACCCAAGGCTCTGGGGAGGCGTCGCGCGCGTCCAGGGCGTCGCACACGCGGTGGATCTCTGATCTCGGGGCGGCGCGAGGGAGGGACGGGCGCCAGCTGGGCAGGGGGCGGGGAGCCAGCCTCGGAGGACATGAGGTGGTCGCCGCACAACGCGTGGCGGTAGGAGCTGGGCTGGGAGGGCCGGCAGGAAGAGTCCGCGGAGGACGGGCTGTCATCGAGCCAGCGTCGCACGCGGTCGCGGCCGGCGGCGGCTGGGGGGTGGACTCCATACGGTGGACGGCGATGCCGGGGTGGCCGGCGCCGGGGCGCGGAGGGGTGGCCGCCGGGCCCGGAGTGGCTGTCGGCGGGGGAGCGGGGAGCGGGGCAGCTTACAGAGTCACATTTAACAGCAATATTGGCAGAACATTATTGAATACTACTATGACACGGGCAGAGATTCTTGGTGCAGAACTTACAAGAACATCCAAGTCTTTAACTGCAACATTAACTTCCAAACACTAACTCTAGTGAGTACCTCAACTCTAATTCACTTGGATTTGAGCAGCTTCAGCAGCGCCCTTGCCTTGGACTTCCACCGGCCTTCGTGTCCGTCGCCAACGCGCTGTACACGACAGGACCAGAACAAGGACGGCCTCGGTGGGGCGGAGGAAGGACGGCACCGGCTTGTTGGACATGGGGTAGGGGCCTGAGCGAGGCGCAAGCGTGTCGAAGCAGAGCACGCATTCCACCGTTCCTTCGTGGTGGTAGCCGATATGATATGGTCGTTTCTGTTAGAATTATTAGTGGGCCTGGCCCAGGCGAATTCTCAGCAAGTAAATTTCGAAGGCTCATGTATGGCAAGATTGTCTCAAAAAAAAAGAAGCTGTATGTGCAATCTTTAGTCCCACCTCCTGCTGCCCCGCACGCTTGCCGACCCGGCCACACCACTACACCACGCCACAGCCGCAACCGCACCATCGCGCACTCAGCTCGTTCGTACGCGCTCGGGCCCTATTTAACCATCGTCTGCCCTCCAAGCCCTGCGACCGCGAGCACCGTCAACCCTGGTTTCTAGTACCTCGTAGCTAAGCTTCCATATGGGATCGAGAGTCTTTCTCGCCGCGGCCGTGGTGGCCGTGGCCGTGGCGGCGGCGGGGGCGGACGTGGCGGCGGACCGGGCGGAGTGCTCGGACAAGCTGGTGGCGCTGGCGACGTGCCTGACGTTCGTACAGGGGCAGGGGCAGGCGCCGACGCCGGACTGCTGCGGGGGGCTGAAGACGGTGCTGCAGACCAGCCCCAAGTGCCTGTGCGTGCTCGTCAAGGACCGCGACGACCCCGGTCTGGACTTGAAGCTCAACGTCACCAGGGCGCTCGGCCTCCCCGCCGCCTGCGGCGCGCCCGCCAACATCTCCGACTGCCCAAGTACGTCCTCCACCCTCAAAGCTTACTATGAAAGAATCTGGAACGATATGTATCATCGCATCATATGGCAAGAGAAGTAGCAACTGCGTTCATGTTCATACGGAGTGGACGCACTTGGTCGATGTTAGTGGGATCATGATGGCGTGCTTCAGTTTCAAACGCCACCACCGCTTAAAGCAGCACCCACATTAAGAGATATGCTTTTCTAGGCCCGTAATTTGTACGTGCTCGGCCGCGATACGATGGTAGCAACGTGTCAGAACATGGGTTACACGCAGTGGCGGAGCACCAAACGGGATCACAAACAAGATATAGTCATGAAGACTAGCGAAGTCAGGGGATTAGAAGAGATATTAGCAGCAGGACGATGCCAAATTTCTCACGGCAGAGCCCGGGATGGTCGCGCGGACGCTCCACCAGAGGTTACGCGGGAAGAGGAGGAAAATATCTCGCCCACCACCGGGAGCGTCCAAATTAGCGGCCTATTAGCATTTCTCTATGCGGTCCATGAATGCTGTTGCCACACCCCTCACTAACGACGGGTACTGTGTAGCTTAGAAAAAAACAATGCGTACGTTAATAAACACATACATATATTCATCCTGATGAACTTATATGCATATACCCTTATCCCTATAAGCATCTCCCAGAGAGTAAGCTGATGGGTCTTGAGATTGACGCATTACAGATGCCTCACTATCGACGGGAACGCCGTTTCCCATAGAAAGAATGTCCTGTCTTTATGATATACCAACATTGTGAGTGTAGTTGAGATGCACGTGTCGCTATTTGTATCCCTGCAAAAAGAAGAGAAGTTGTTTAGTACCTTGGCCATGATCACCGGTTAAACGCCGTAGGTACGAGCGTTGCAGTGGTTGACATGTGATCAGCGTTCATACATGACATGAATGAATTACATTATCACATGATAACCTTCATTACTAGGACTAGGGTTAGGATTTATAGCGCTGCGGGAAAGATGTAAGCTCATTTTGTTTGCTGGTAATTAACAAAGCGTGCTCCTGTTGTGGATCCAACGTTTCGTTTACAGGGCTACTGAACCTGCCGCCCAATTCCAAGGACGCGGAGGTCTTCGAGCAGTTTGCCAAGCAGCAGGCAGCCCAGAGCAGCCCAAGTGAGTTATTCTCCTCCTACCAATTGATTGCTTTACAAGGATTATTTAGTTATATATACAATGGTTCATTTTAAATAAAAAAGGAAAAGAAAACGGACAATTGTTCCCGCTGAAGAAGGGAGTTCTATAGTGCAGACGCATAATTGATGATGTGCATGCACCCGTTCAGTCGAGTCGATCAGCTGAGACTTAATAATTGTGAAGTGATTGATGCAGATTAACATCGCCAACAATCTAGTTACAATTAATTCGACGAAAGACAAAAGAAACTGCTGGACCGCTACTGGACAGCAGTGCCGCTCGGCGTTGGAGCCTGACGTGACGTGCGAAATTTATGTGCTAGAACCAGCCCGCCCAACAGTGCTGAAGTAGGAGTGTCATGTGACGTTAGCTAGGAGTAGCAATAGCAATCTAGCATGCCTCCAAAAACATGGAAGACATGTCACTGCACGGCATAAACCTGTTGCATCAACTAATCAAAGATCGGCATAACACACTACTAGTATAGTCTTCTAAAGATTTTCAGCCAGTAGTGATGTGGTTGACGGTTTGCTCTTTGGAATTTGGAGCTAAATAACGTGGTTGATGTGATCTCCAGGTGGCGCGTCGAGTGCGCCGAGCACGGGCGCACAGAAGAACGCGGCGGCGAGGATGAGGTGGTTGGGAGTGGGCGGAGTTGGTGTGGCCGCACGCGCAGCGCCGCTCCTCTTCTTCGCCGTGCCTTTCTTGCTCCTTCTGCGCTAAATACAGAAACGGAAGCCTATGCTGCAGGGCATCATTATTGTGTACATGGAGTGAGAGTGGTCGATGAGTGCATGCTCCATGCTGGAGCATGCGGGCGCGTGAGTGCGTGTGTGTTGGTATCTCTTAATCCGCGTGTGAAAAGCTGAACCGATGTGCCGGCTGGGATTTCTTCTCGGGTTATGCCTGCCTGGTCATTTCTAACAGACATATCATGTCAAGTAATAAAATTCCCTCAAAAGGGATCCATATACTTGCATTGCACCGATCAATCCTTTTTTTAGGACACCTCAGGAGGGGCATGGTTCCTGCATTTCAGTAAGAAGAAGAGAATTACCAGGTTAATCTGAGATAACCAGACGAAAACCCAATACAATCCATGATTAATTTAGGAAAACCGACGACAAACCACACACACTCAACCACACGATTGATTAAGGGACAACC